GCCCCACCGTCCATGTACTTTTTGTATTTTTAGTAGAGACAAAGGTTTCTTTTTTGTTGCCCAGGCTGGTCTCAAACTCCCCACCTCAGGTAGATCTGTCTGGTTAATCCTCATGAGTGCTGGGATTACAGGCATGAACCACCACACCTGGACTATCTGTCTTTTTTCATTTACTGGGAGAACTTTATTTATTTATTTATATTATTATTATTATTATTGAGACAGAGTCTCACTCTGTCGCCCAGGCTGGAGTACAGTGGACGATCTCAGCTCACTGCAACCTCACCTTCTGGGGTTCTAAGCAATTTTCCTTCCTCAGCCTCTTGAGTAGCTGTGACTACAGGCGTGCGTCACTACACCTAGCTAATTTTTTGGCATTTTTTTAGTAGAGACAGGGTTTCACACCGTGTTGGCTGGTCAGGATAGTCTCGATCTCCTGACCTTGTGATCTACCCCCTCAGCCTCCCAAAATGCTGGGATTACTGGTGTGAGAACCTCACACCCAGCCTGGAGAACTTTATATAGACTTGTGGGTTGGCGTTACTCTTGTTTTTGTTTTGTTTTGAGACGGAGTACCACTCATTTCCCAGGCTGGAGTGTAATGGTGCGTTCTCGGCTCACTGCAAGCTCCACCTCCTGGGTTCACACCTGCCTCAGCCTCCCGAGTAGCTGGAACTTCCTGGCAAGTGCCTGCCACCACATCCGCTAATTTTTGTATTTTTGCTTAGAGACAGGATTTCACCGTGTAAGCCAGGATGGTGCCGATCTCCTGACCTTGTGATCTGCCCACCTCGGCCTCCCAACATGCTGGGATTACAGGCGTGAGCCACCGCACCTGACCTGGAGCCTCCTTTGCTTCTTTCATTTCTTTTTTTTGTTTGTTTCTTTGAGACAGAGTTTCGGTCTGTAACCCAGGCTAAAGTGCAGTGGTGTCATCTTGGCTCACTGCAACCTCCACTTCCCAGGTTCAAGCAATTCTCCTGCCTCAGCTTTCCAAGTAGCTGGGACTACAGTGAGTACCAACACATGAGCTAGTTTTGTCATTTTTTTAGTAGAGATGGAGTTTCAGCTTGTTACTCAGGATGGTCTCAATCCTCCTGGCTTAAGTGATCCTCCCACCTCCTCAGCCTCCAAAAATGCTGGGATTACTGGCGTGAGCCTCTGCACCTGACCTGTCTCAAGGTTTTTAAAACATGTTAGTGCTAGTAGATGGCTTCAAGTATTGCAAATTTTACAGTACAGACTCTTAACTTGCTTTGTTTCATTAGATTTGTCACCTTCAGTGATGTTCATGATGAGATGCTCTTTTTTCTGTCTCTGTCATTTCACTGTCCTGTTAGAAATGGCTTAGAGTGTGCAGCCGCGGTATCTCACTTTTCTAATCCCAGCACTTTTAGAGACCAAGGTAGGTAGATCGCTTGAGGTCAGGAGTTTGAGACCAGTCTATTAACATGTTGAAACATTGAATACTAAATGCCAAAATGGGCAGGTGCAGTGGCTCACCTGTAATCCCAGCACTGAGAAGGCTGCGATGGGTCGATCACTTGAGGTCGGGAGTTCGAGACAAGCCACCAGCCATATGGTGAAACCCCGTCTGTGCTAAAAATGCAAAAATTAGCTGTGTATGGTGGCGTGCACACCTGTAATCCCAGCTACTTGGGAGATTGGACAGAGAATCCCTTGAACCTGGGAGGTGGAGGTTGCAGCCTAGCCAACATGGTGAAACCCCATCTCTATTAAAGGTAAAAATTAGCCCAGGCATGGTGCGTGCCTCTTTCATCAGGTGCTCAGGACCTAAGGCAAGAGACTCATATGGACCCAGGCCGCGGAGGTTGCATTAAGCCAAGGTCATGCCATTTGCACTCCCACCTAGGCCAGGCAGAGTGAGACTCTATCTCAAAAAATAAAAATACATAAAATTTAAAAAAGTAACCAGCATGCCTGTTCCACATGGATATACGTAATTTTGTAACAGTTATTCAGAAAAATACCATATTAACATTTTCTTTTTTTGAGAGATGGACTCTCACTCTGTCACCCAGGGTGGAGTGCAGTGGTGTGATCTCAACTCACCATAATCATTGGCTCCCCAGTTGACGATTATCCCTACCTCAGCCTCCCAAGTTGCTGGAATTACAGGCGCCTGCGACCACGCCCAGCTAGTTTGCATTTTAGGCTACAGACGGGGTTTCTCCACGTTGGCCAGGCTGGTCAAACTCCTGACCTGAGGTGATCTGCCTGCCTCCGCCTCTGGAAGTACTGGACCACAGGCATGAGCCACCATGCCTACCTTTTCTTTTTCTTTTTCTTTTTTTGTTGAGATGGAGCTCATTTTGTCACCTGGGCTGCGTTGTAGTGGTGTAATATTCGGCTCACTGAAGCCTTTGCCTTTTGGCTTTTAATGCAATTCTTGTGAAACAGCCTTTGGAATAGCTGGGAGTACAGCAGATCAAGGCCACCATACCTGGCTAATTTTGTAATCTTTGTTATGTCTTGTCAGTGCTATGATTGTTTGACAATAAAATTTCCATTGATTTTGTTATCCTTACAACATGTTGTGGATTATTCTAGTATAGTATGTGCATTGATTCTTTAGCATTTATTTGTATACACTAAATATGCTGTAAATATGAAGATATATATTTTTATATTTTGATGTGACAGTGATGTGTTTTTTTGCAAACTGATACACTTTAGGGTCACAGTGGAAAAACCTCCTTTCTTTAGACTCACACATGTTTTTGTGCCCTGTCAGTGTCTTGTCATGATATTGGGAATAGGCTTCTGTAGAAATGATTTGAAGTACATGTAATTGCCCTTTATTTATTAAAGAATCTTACTGCTTTTGTGTTCATAAGCATTGAAGATCATGTTTGAGAAGTTTAAAATGAGTATTGTTTTCGTGTCATTTTTACACATTCCCAATTATTATTTTCCCTCTGTACTTAATTGGAAACCTATTGGTGTTTAAATTTTGTAGATATCTCTTCCAAAAGCATGTTGAAGACGTTGTCATCAACAGGGCAAGGCAATACAGAAGTCATCCTCACCGGGACATTGGAAAGACAAGCAAGTCATCACACTGGAGATTTTGCTTCAAGAAAATTGAGAAAGACATTCATGAAGCTGAGTTGCAGTGGAAGAAGATCAAACAAATGGTCATGCAGCACCCATGACAGAAATCAAAGAGTTGACTGGTAATACAGACCGACATGATCAAAGGCATGCTGGAAACAAGCCTATTAAAGATCAGCTTGGATCAAGCTTTCATTACATCTGCCTGAACTGCATATTTCAGCTTGGAAGGGAAAATTGATAATCAAGTTGCTTAAAATCTTTCAACGATGCTTCCTCAGTTTCAACATCCCAAAGAATTTCTTGTAGGCCCAAAACCCGTATTTCTAATAAGTATGGAAATAATTCCCTCCATTCTTCATTACTCACACAAAAATGGGAAGTACACATAAGAGAAAATCTTTCAGTAGCATAGAAATTAGCAAATCCTTTAAATTATAAACTCACTTTTTAAAAAAACATCAGATAATCCACTTAGAGGAGACAATGTAAATGTGATATGTATGTGGGGAAAGGTCTTTAATCAGAGGCGATACCTTGCATGCCGCTTCGTAAAGATGTCACATTGGTGAGAAACCTTACAAGTGTAATGGTATTAATGGGCCTTTGGTCTGAAATTCATCCTATTCATTAACAAGGCACTTCATACAGGTGATAAACCTTATAAATGCTGAAGAGATGGCGACCAAAGTTTTCAGTCACCGCAAATCACATCTTAGGCACAAGAAGATGGCTATGCTGGAGAAAGCTTTATACAAATGTAGGTTTACAGCGGCAAAAGCTTTCATTACAGTTCACTATCTTTGCCGAACATACTGTAATTCTACACTGGAGAGAAACCTTCACAAGTGTGATGAATGTGGCAAGGTTTTAATCGACTATCAACCCTTTCAACCATAAGTAGACTTCATACTGGAAGAAACCTTTTGAATGTGAAGAATGTGACAAAGGATTTTCAGCCACAAATCATGCCTTTGAAAGACATAAGGGATTCATACTGGAGAGAAACCATACAAATGTAAGTTGTGACAAGGCTTTTGCATATGATTCATACCTGGAAAACATAGTATAATTCACACTGGAGAGAAACCTTGATACGCAATGAATGTGGCAAGGTTTTAATCAACAATCAGCTCTTACGCCATCGTAGGCTTCATACTGAAAACCATGTAAATGTGAAGACTGTGACAAATATTCAGAGTGCCGTCCACCTTAAGAAAAGAAGGGCCTTAGGAGATTCATATACTGGAGAAACCATACAAATGTAAGGTGTGTGACAAGGCTTTCGGAGTAGTTCATGCATTACAGAACATCAGAGTTCATACTGGAGAGAAACCTTACACATATATAATGAATGTGGCAGGGTTTTTAGTACAAAAAGCAAGCCTTGCATGTCATCATAAACTTCATACTGCAGAGAGCAGCACACAAATGTGAAGAAGAATGTGAAGAGTTTTCAAGTCAACAAATCACACCTGAAAGACACAAGTTCATACTGTGGAGAGAAACCATACAAATGTAAGAATTGTGACAAGGCTTTCGGAGGATTACACCTGGCACAACATCAGAGAGTTCACACTGGAGAGAAACCTTACAAGTGTAATGAGTGTGGCAAAACCTTCCGTCAGACATCATCCCTTATAATCCATCGTAGGCTTCATACTGGAGAGAAACCTTACAAGTGTAATGAGTGCGGCAAGACCTTCAGTCAGATGTCATCCCTTGTATACCATCTATAGACTTCCATGGTGGAGAAACTGCTTACAAGTGCTGACTGAATGTGGCAAAGTTTTTGATCAACAGCACACCGCAGCATCAGAGAGTTCATACTGGAGAGAAACCTTACAGTCATAATGAGTGCAGCAAGACTTTCAGTCAGATGTCAAATACTAGCATACCATCGTGAACTTCATGGTGGAAGAGAACCATACAAATGTAAGGTGTGTGACAAGGCTTTCCGGAGTGATTCATGCATTACAGAACATCAGAGAGTTCATACTGGAGAGAAACCTTACACATATAATGAATGTGGCAAGGTTTTTAGTACAAAAGCAAACCTTGCATGTCATCATAAACTTCATACTGCAGAGAAACCTTACAAATGTGAAGAATGTGAGAAAGTTTTCAGTCGTAAATCACACCTGGAAAGACACAGGAGGATTCATACTGGAGAGAAACCATACAAATGTAAGGATTGTGACAAGGCTTTCCGGAGGGATTCACACCTGGCACAACATCAGAGAGTTCACACTGGAGAGAAACCTTACAAGTGTAATGAGTGTGGCAAAACCTTCCGTCAGACATCATCCCTTATAATCCATCGTAGGCTTCATACTGGAGAGAAACCTTACAAGTGTAATGAGTGCGGCAAGACCTTCAGTCAGATGTCATCCCTTGTATACCATCATAGACTTCATAGTGGAGAGAAACCTTACAAGTGTAATGAATGTGGCAAAGTTTTCAATCAACAAGCACACCTTGCACAGCATCAGAGAGTTCATACTGGAGAGAAACCTTACAAGTGTAATGAGTGCAGCAAGACTTTCAGTCAGATGTCAAACCTTGTATACCATCGTAGACTTCATAGTGGAGAGAAACCTTAAAAGTGTAATGAGAGTGGCAACACCTTCCATCACAATTAAACCCTTGTAAGTCATAAAGCCATTCGTGCTGGAGGGAAACCTTACAAGTGTAATGAATGTGGCAAGGTTTTTAATCAAAAAGCAACCCTTGCACGTCATCGTAGACTTCATACTGGAGAGAACTTTACAGATGGGAAGAATGTGACAAAGTTTTCAGTCGCAAATCAAATCTTGAAACACATAAGAAAATTCATACTGAAGAGAAACCACACAGATGTAAGGTTTGTGACAAGATTTTCACATATAATTCATACCTGGCAAAACATCCTAGAATTCACACTGGAGAGAAACCTTAGGAGTGTAATGAATGTGGCAACACCTTTGGTCAAAATTCACACCTTGTAATTCAAAAGACAATTCATACTGGAGAGAAACCTTACAAGTGGAATGAATGTGGCATGGTTTTTAATCAACAATCACACCTTGCAAGTCATCATAGACTTCATACTGCAGAGAAATCTTAAAAATGTGAAGACTGTGACAAAGTTTTCAGTCGCAAATCACAGCTTGAAAGGATAATTCATACTGGAGAAAAACCATACTAATGTAAGGTTTGTAACAAGGCTTTTGGGAGTGATTCACACCGGCAAAACATACCAGAATTAACACTGGAGAGAAACCTTACAAGTGCAATGAGTGTGGCAAAGTCTTTAGTGGGCAGTCACCACTTATTCACCATCAAGCAATCCATAGTATACAGAAAGTTAACTACTGTAATGATTGTCACAAAGTTTTCAGTAATGCTACAATCATTACAAATCATTGGAGAATGCATAATGAAGAGAGAACTTACAAGTGTAATAAATGTGGCAAATTTTTCAGACATTGTTCATATCTTGCAGTTCTTTGTCAAACTCATGCTGGAGAGAAACCTTATAAATGTCATGATTGTGGCAAGGTCCTCAGTCAAGTTTCATCCTACGCAAAACATAGGAGAATTCATACAGGAGAGAAACCTCACACATGTGATGATTGTGGCAAAGCCTTTACTTCACGTTCACATCTCAATTGGCATCAGGAAATCCATACTGGACAGAAATCTTACAAATGTCATCAGTGTGGTAAGGTCTTCAGTCTGAGGTCACTCCTTACAGAACATCGGAAAATTCATTTTGGAGACAGTTATTTCAGATGTGATGAGTATAGCAAACCATCAAGCGTTAATTGACATTACAGTCAAACAAGCATTGACCTGAGTTTGAGTTGGCTTAACATTGAGTTCAAGCATTAGTTGACATTAAACTGTTTATGTTAAGAGGATTGGGCTGGGTGCCTGTAATGCCAGCACTTTGAGAGGCCAAGACAGGTAGCTCACTGGAGGTTAAAAGTTTGAGAACAGCCTGGCCAACAGATGGGAGCCACTTTTCCGGCCTGTATTTTCATTTCTTTTTTCTTTTTTTGTTTTTTGAGATGGAGTCTTGCTCTGTCACCCAGGTTGGAGTGCAGTGGCATGATCTCGGCTCACTGCAACCTCCGCCTCCCAGGTTCAAGTGATTCTCCTGCCTCAGTCTCCAAGTAACTGGGACTACAAGTGCGTGCCACCATGCCTGGGTAATTCTTTGTATTTTTAGTAGAGACTGGGTTTCACCGTGTTTGCCTGGATGATCTTGATTTTCTGACCTTATGATCCACTTGCCTCCACCTCCCAAAGTGCCGAGATTATAAGTGTGGGCCACCGTGACTGGCCTGTTTTTTGTTTTCTTAACAAAAAGTTATATGGATTTCTATGGGTATTGTATTGAATCTAAATCACATTTGGTTATGTAATCATTGAGCAATACTAATTTTTCCAATCAATATGGGTTGTGTATGTATTTATACATGTTTTTAATCATTTTGATCAATGTTTGTAGATTTCAAGGTACAAGCTTCTCACCTTTATGTTTATTCCTAAATGTTTCTTACTTTAAGCTCTTTAGCAAATGGAAGTGGTTTTAATTTTCTTTTAAAATTATTTATTGTTGATGTATGGAAATTCAACTAATTTTTGGTGCTGTTATTCTATTCTGCAAATACACTGAATGTGTTCCAGTTGTACTTTGGTTGACTCTGTGATTTTCTTCACAGAAGATCATGCCGTCTACAAACAAATAGAGTTTTACTTCTTTCTTTCTGATTCGGATGAGTTTGATTTCTTTTGCTATTTCATTGCTCTGGCTAGGACAGCCAGTATTGATTTAATAGAAGGGGTGAGAGCATTCTTGCATCATGTGAGATCCTACAGGAAAAGCATTCCATTTTCCCTGATTGATTGTTTCCGCTGTGGTCATTTCATGGATTGTCTTTGTATTGTTGAGGTAAATTTCCTTCTTTATCTATTTTGCTTAGGATTTCCATGATGACTGGATGTTGAATTTTGTGAAATGCTTTTTCTCCATGTATTGAGATGATGTGGTTTCCATCTTTCATTCTGTTCAAGTGGAATATCACATTGAATTGCTTGAATATGTTGAACCATCCTTACATCTCAGAAATAAGTGGCACTTGAATATCTACAATCCTTTTTATATCGTCTTGAATACAGTTTGTTAGTACAAGGGGTCTTCAAGAAGTTCATGAAAAATACATATTATGAGAAAATTGTGCATGACGTCACATTTTTTTGCACCAAAATAAAATGGTACAAATTTGTTATGTGTAAACAGGGTCTAGTTTGAGGCACTCAGAAGGGTAAGATGAGTTTGAAAAGAGACTCCATCAAAGCAATGTAAATTCTGCTGAAATTGAAAGAAGAAGAAACGTCAAATTTACAATGAGACCAGATGCAGTGGCTCAGGCCTGTAATCCCAGCACTTTCAGAGATCAAGACAGGTAGGTCACGTGAGCCCTGGTATTCAAGACCAGCCTGGACAGAATGGTGAAACCCCTTCTTTACAAAAAATACAAAAATTAGCTGGGCATGGTGGCACATGCCTGCTGGTTCAGCTTCTCTGGAGTTTGTAGTGGGAGAGTGGCTTGAGCCCAGGAGGTAGAGGCTGCAGGGAGCCATGATCATGCCACTGCACTCCAGCTTGGGTGACAGAGTGAGATAGTGTCTCAAGAAATTAATATGGTAAAGTTTGGGTAGAGGGACAATTAAATCATTGATGCTTTATGAAAAGGTTATGGGAACGATGCCCAAAAGAAATCACTAGTTTGTAAATGGATAACTCATTTTAAGTTGGGACAAGACAATGTTGAAAGTGATGCATGGAGTGGCAGGTAGACCATTTACATCACTTTTACAGACAAAAATCTTGTTTGTGCTGCGATGAAGAGGACTGACAGCTAACAGCAGAAAGAATAGTCAGGAGTTTGAGACCAGCCTGGATAACATGCTGAATCCCCATCCCTACTAAAAATGCAACAATTAGCTGGTCATGGTGGTGGCCACCTGTAATCTGAGCTACTCGGGGGGCTGAGACATGAGAATCGCTTCAATCCAGGAGGCGGACGTTGCAATGAGTCGAGATCGTGCACCTGCACTCCAGCTGGGCAACAGAGCAAAACTCTGTCTCAAAATAAAATAAAATAAATAAAATAAAACTGCTTCTCAAATAAGCTTTGGTAGAATCTTAAGGGGTCACATCATTGTTTTCCAACTATGATATGTGTTGAAAAAATTTCTTCTTTGACCGCACATTTTATTAGATTTTTTTTTAACCATTATAAATGGTTTTTCTCTGAAATTTATTGTGTTCAGGTTACATTGAGGACTGCATGCTTTCTAGTCTGTATCATCTATTGGAAACATTTTCTGGTACCTGATAAATGATTTTAGTTTGTTTCAATGTGTACTTGATAAAGATATCACGGAACTTTTTTCTTTATGCTAACATCAAAATTTAGTTCTAGTGGCCATGTTTCCATTTTATTTCTTTATGTCATCTGATTAAATGGTGAGCTGTGAGCTTCTAAGTCATCGTTCCCCTCATGTTCCTCTGGTCCATAATATTTGCAGATGTTGAAGGATGGGCTGGATTGACCTGGAACCATGTTCCACCGGAGCCCATATGTTCATGAAGAAAACATTTGCTCAGATCTCCTTTGTACAGCAGCTTCCTTTTCAGTGTTTTAAACACCTATAGCTATGTGTTCACAATTGTGTTTATTTTGAACGTTTCACAATCATTTTTCTGGGAAAATAATTACATGTTTAGGATTCGTGCCATCAGAACCTTAGACATTGAAAGAGACATTTCATTTGCTCAGGTATATAAAATGGTACTGAAATGTTTTCCTTCTTTTTGAGACAAGAATGTCACTCTGTCACCCATACTTGAGTGCAGGGACACGATCTTGGCTCACTGCACCCTCCACCTCCCAGGCCCAGTGATCCACCTTAGTCAGCCTCCCAGATAACTGAGACCACAGATGCACTCCACCACACCAGGCCAATTTTTTGTACTTTTGGTAGGAATGGGGTTTTACCAAGTCTCCCAGGTTGGTTTCAAACTCCTGGGCTCAATGGTCTACCCACTCCAGCCTCCCAAAATGCTGCAATTACAGGGTTAGCCACCGTGCCCGGCCCATTATGGAATTTTCTAGAGAAGGTGGTGAAGTGTCTCCTGCTCGGAACAACTGACACAACCTGTAATGTACAGGTGGGGAATAAGACCAGAAAAGCTCAGTCAGAGTGACACTGACCCCTGAAATACTTTGCCAAATAGTGTGTGGCTTTTCCTGTAGGAGAGGGTAATGCTCAGGTGTAATTTGAATTTTAAATGGATTCCTGTCCTCCCAAAATGTAAAAAACACAAATACCGGAATAGAAAAAAAAGGGGATTAGACTCAAGTCGTCTTGAACCTATTCTTGTCTCTGTCCACACAAACTGCTTTTCCTAATCTCATCTCACAGCTTTAACCCACCTACACGGCTCCATGTCCCCTGCAGGTTTCTTCCCTGAGCTCTACAATCCTGTGTCCTGTTGTCTCCTCAGCTCTCTGCTGGAACATCAAACTGGCATCTCCACATTCACGTGCCCATAAATGACTTACTAAACTCCCAAACACATTCCCGTACAGTCCTACAGATCTCAGATGAGGGTGACTGTGTACTTCCGGGGACTTAGCCAAACTTGACAGCATGTATTTTACGTATGGGAGATAAATTACATTATTTGTAAGTGTTGTCATTTATAATGTAAAGAGAAAGTTGCATGTATACATAAAAGGAGTGAGAAAATACATCATTTCCAACATTCTTTAGAGGTGTGGGGGAAAAATGTTTCAAGACCTCATCCCTACGGATCTGTGCTCCCAGGACCCCTCTAACCTCATCTCCTGCCTGCGTCCTCCTCGCTTTCTCTGCTCCAGCCCTGCAGGCCTCTTTCCTTTTTCTGGGACTGAGGTTTCTTCCGTCTCAGAGCCTTCACCTGTGCTGTCCCTCTGCCTAGGACTCTGTGGCCACTGAGCTGCAAGTGACAAGCAGCGTTTCTTCCCCAAGTCTTTGTTCTGACATCGCTTTTACTATAGAGAACTTTATGTTCTCCCACAGCCCCCCATTTGTCATGACAGCTCCACCTTCACCCCCACCTCTGGTCCATGTTGCCTGTTCTGTGTGATTCTTTTTGCTCCTTCACGGTTCACTGGATCCTGGTGAGGACAAGTCTCTAAGCAGGGAGCAGAGCCAGAAGGTGGGGCTGTGCTGGGCTGGCACCCTCTGAGTGGAACTCAACCATGACTTTACATTGGGGTTCTCAGGCATTTTGCAAATACATCTTTTATGCTGTTTTATCAGAGATTGCTATTTTCACAGTATGGGACCCACCCTCAACAATACCTACAATGACACAGGTGATTCTCATCTGTCTCCAGCATTGAATGTCAAGGCAGTTTCCTCCATCTTGAGAGCTGAGATCAGCCTGTGATCCACAGGGAGGTGAGGGCGCTGTGCTCTGCATGGGGTTTGGTTAGGGCCAGATCTCTGCCCTGAAGGTCTCTCTCCTGCTGCAGCGTGTGTGTGGACTTTTCCAGGAGGGAAGCAAGATCTGAAAACGGGTCAAGGTTACCCTTGTAGATCTTCCCGTGACACGTTCTTATCTCTGCATGATCTCTGGGACAGTGGGCAGCAGAGGACCGTCCGTCTCCAGGGTAAGGTCTCCCCTGTGTGTGTGTTTTGTCACAGGAAAGGAGGGAGTGATTTCTAAACATTAAATCTCTGATTTTTTTCACACACAGGATTTCTAAAGACTCATGTTACATGAGGAAGCCACCAAGAAGAGGAAAGAAAAGGATCCAGGGATGGCTCTTCCTCAGGTGAGTGATATTCCTCGGTGGATTCTGCTGTCTCTTTGCTTTCTGAAATGCCAGGTATTGTAGTAGCCAGTCTTCTCTGAGTCTGAAGCATCCACCTCACACATTTGCTGGCGCTCACCCATGCCTTTTCTCAGTCCTTGTCATCTTCACTTAAATTCCATCTCCTATAACCTAGTGAATGAGGTTAGGAATAGGCTCCCCTGGGCATGGTCCTGGGAAGGGCTCACACCAGACATGGATGGAGATGGGGTGTGGGTCCCATGTTGTCAGTGATGTTGGGCAGCAGGGATTGTTTGGGGGCCACATCTGGATGCATGTTTAACTCTTTTTGGACCAGATCGGAGAATCTATATATGAAAGTCATACGTTAATGTACATTGATATCTGGTAAATTCTGGAAAATGAGGCAAACTAAGGTATATATTTTGTGTCTGATTTTGTAATGCATTTGAAGCTACACTAGTGAGTCAATATGTCTCTGACTCCAAACTTTCTTTTTTAAGAGACAAATGTCACTCTGGGCCCAGTATGGAGTACAGTGGAACAATTCTAGTTTACAACAGCCTCAGATTCGTGGGCTCAAGTGATCTTCACATTAGCCTGCCAAGGAGGTGGAATGACAGACAGACATGTGCCATCATGCCAGGCTAATTCTAATTTCAGAGAAGGTGAGAAAGAGCTATGTACAGAATGAAAGAGCTATGTACAGAGAAGGAGCTATGTACAGAATGTGATGATGAAGTGATAACATGTTGCTTTCTCTGTTTAGAGGATAACAAATTTAATATTCGTTTAAATTA